GCTATATCTTTTGATAGCCGGGCACCATCAGCTTTCTTTGCCACATTTGCTTATGCACCCATTTGCCTTCAGTGATCGTATCAGGGAGGTAAGCACACAATGATACGGTTTTTTGTTCTTTGATGCCTTATAACTGATCCCTTTGGCACCTTGTGATCACGCAGGCTGCTTTTTCCTAATTATTTTCCTTTTAGACGAAAGTAATATTAAAAGTAAAAATGGAAAATTCCCTTAATTTTTGAAGTTAAAGATTAAATGATGTGAAAATTGGTTATTGTTGAGCAACTCGTAAGTGCAGAACTCTGAGCAACAGTTGACAAGGTACTTCAGTAAACTGATAATTTAGATGGGGAAACGGACATGCATATTAGCTAATAGTAGGTCAATATCTGGTGCATGCTTGGTGAGTAAGCTACAAGAGGATCCTAGTGGAAGGTTTCAAGAGATGGGGATGTGTGGGTCATATGGGCAGGTGAGAACTTACACAGCTTTTAGGATGTGTTTTAGTGGCAGTAAGGAAGCAGTATGAAGGCTTAAGATAGAAACAGACAAATCACCTTTAAACACTTTTAATTCATGTAAATAGTAAGTGATTTCTATGTGACAGTTATACTGGATGCTGGGTATACAGGTATGAATGTAATAGTCTGGACTCTGGAATCTAGGTCTAGTGAAAGAGACCGAAAGTAAACTGGGAGACGCACACTGATTACAAATAACCACGTGGACAAAATTGGTTTGAGGAAAGAGAAGGCAGAAAAATGAGGGGCCAGAGGTAGAAAGCTTTAATATGTTTGCGTAAGTTAACATAATTCCTGTGCAATAAGTTTATTAAGCTATAATGTTAGACCCCCTTGGTTTCTTAACAAAATTCAGTTTTGTGGAAATTTTACTTTTATTATGAAATTGTTCGTTTTGGATACCGTCAGATAAATGAGAGGCCTTATGATACCTTCAAAAGACAACATTGCAAAATAACAGGCCTCTTAACTCCAGAAGAGTGCCCATATAACAACATAGAATTTGATAAATGGAGATATAGTAAGGCTTAACTTAAAAATTTTTTTTGAGGGAAATTAGAAGACACATAGGGGAACATATTTCCTTTCTTTGTTCCTTGTTTTCCAAAGGAAACAAAGCAGTATAACTCAGGGACTAAGTAGAACTGTTAAAATATACGTTAAATTTAAAGTGTAAGGTGAAGTTATGGTGCAGTTCTGTGATGTTAACACTTTTTAAAAATACAGCAAAGAAAAGCAACGAGGCCTTTGGTATTACACAGCAGTTGGGCTAGTGTGCTACCAACCTATCTTCACAGACTTAATTGTTGTTTTTATGCTTTTCATTGCTTTATGTATATTAATTCTTACTTTCATTGGGTAAATCTGCACAAGACCTCTTTAAGATGTTGAAAAGCAAGAATGTCACTTTGAGGACTAGGGTGCTTTTGACCCAAGCCATGGTATTTTCAGTTGCCTCATAAACATGTGATTAGAGAAGAATCAATGTACTTGACTGTGGGTCTGGCAAGGAATTTTGAAAGTACAGTGGACTGCCAAAAGAATAAACAAGTCTGTCTTGGGAGAAATGCAGCGAGAATGCCTTTTAGAAGGAAGGATTACGAGACTTTGACTCACATGCTTTGCACTGGTTGCCTGGAGAGACTAGTTCCTGGAAAAGACATGCTTGGTCGTAGAGTAGAGGGCAGTGAAAAAGGAAGCCTCTCGATGAGATGGATGACACAGTGGCTGCAGCAGTGGACTCAGCCACAAGAACCATTGTGAGGCTGGCGTAGCACCATGCAGTGCTTCATCCTGTCGTGCATACGGGCCCTATGGGTCAGAATTGACCCAACAACACCTGACGTCAACTCTCAGTTATTTCATTTTACAGGAATGATCAAGTGTAACCTGTTTGGTAGAGACCTTTTTTTAAAAATTATGCCAAAAGTACAGACTTTTCTAAAATTCACTAGTTCTGGTGTTAGAATAACAGTATTGTGGAAAACCTAGAGTATACTTTGTTATTGTCATCTATAATTTATTGCTGGGTTTGTTACCCGGCTATTGTAGAGGATCTTACTTTTTGTTGAGCATTTAACAATGTTCATTTTGTGAACCCTTGGTGAGCATTACCCAGGCCAGTCCGGAGAAAGTTAAGAATTATGGCATACAGAACTTTGGCGTCTGGTATTTGGCATTGTATAGTCAAGATGATTGAGGTGGGGGAGGCGAATCCAGC